TCGGCGGAACGCGCTTTATAAGGCATCCCATGAAGCTCCGGGGTTTCAGCCCACCGGGACACGGATTAACCGCTTCGGGACCGGGACCGAGCCCACCTCTCCCCGCCCGAACGCCGGAGTCGGTGCAGAGTTAGCGCCGGGGGCTGCAGACCCCGGGGAGCAAAGGGAAAGGGCTGGGGACGAGGTGGCACCAGCAGAGAGCGCAGGGAGGGCACCCACGGGTGGCTCTCGATGGTCGCCGGGGTTTGCCCACCCGCCGGGGTTTGTCCAGAGCAGGGTGGCAGGTCCGGACCGGGAGCCCGTTGGGTGTCCTGTCACCTCCATGGGTAACCTGCGCTGCGTGTAGTTAATGGAATGAATGTGGACATTAATGAGGGCTCTTCACTAAACGTTCTCCTATGAGTGCTGCTGGGATTGAGTCCAGCCAGAGCTGTGCATAGAGCTCCAGTGCCAGCTCAGGCTGAAAATAGACCAACAGACACCCCCCCTCCCCCCCGAGGGCCTGGGGAGCAGGGAGTGAACCCCAGAGACCAAAACTCATCAGCCAGGAAGAGCCAAGGGATGGAGGATCCCACCTCACCCGGCACAGGGCAGAGCCCCAGCGCCGAGGCCAGCAGAAGGGTTTTACCCAAAGCTCTGTGTCAGCAGCCAAACACCAGCCCTCCCCCTGCAGACCACAGCCTCAGGGCCCCCTGTGCCCCTGCCCTTGAGAGCAACCAAACACAGCCTGGCTCGCACCGAGGTTCAGCTGGGAGGGCACGGCCAGGGGGAGCTGGGTGAGGGGAACAGTTGTCTGATCCCAAACCCTTTGTGATGCCCTGTCAGGAGCTTAACATCATTTCAGCCTCATCAGAGGCTCCTTTTCCCTTTGCAGATCCCTCCTGGGACATACCTGAGCTTCCTTTGGGGTGGCCTTAAGGGAAGCAGGAGCTCTGAGGGCCCCAGGATCACTGAGGCTATTCTTGAGTCTCTTCCAGCTTGAGTTGCTGCCCTTTCTAACAGCAGTCCTGGCCTGTGCCCAGGCTCCCACATGGCAGGAACGACCTGGTGTCCCTTGTCCCTCCTTCCCCAGGCACCGCTGAGCTGCAAACACACACACAGAGCCCAGGTGAGCCCACAGTGCAGAGCTCTGCCCTCAGCAGCACTCCTAAGCATACACGCACTGCTCTGGCTCGGGCATCCTCCCCTTGCTGTGCTCAGGTGCCAGCTGCTGCAGGGCACATGAGGTGCTGGTGAGTGCAGGGTGACCAAGCACCCAGCCAGGAGCCAGCCCTGCCCAGTCACTGTGGAGAAGTGCTCCAAGTTGGTGAGAGCTCCCTAGCAACAGCCGCGGTCTCTGCAGGCTGCTGATGGAGGAGAAAGGCCAAAGGAAGATACGTGCAGGGAAGATGTGGGTGGAGAAGAGGAGGCTGAGGAGGATGAGGATACAGTGGTAGCAGGTCCCAGCTGCTGGTGGTGCTGTGACGGGGCCCAGGACAAAGCCAGCAGGTCCTCGGGCTATGCCCAGCCCTAAATGAAGGGCACAGCAAGGGTCCAGCTCCTGGTTGCCAAGTGAAATGCATTTCCAGCACAAATCCACCCCCAAGGGATAACATACCCCTCCTCAAAGCTACCTGCATGGCTGAAGGGTTTCAAATTCCCCCATCGTAGCCCCACTGTGCTGTTCCCAAGGGCTTCTCCATCCCTTGGAGTGTCACAGGCTCAGATGAGATCCATAAATGATGCTCAGACCGCAGTGTTGTCATCCCACTCCCCCCAGCAGCCATTCGGGCGAACATCACACGTGTGGGACAGTTTATTTTCCCATTAAAAAAATAGATAACAACTTCACTGTTTAACAGATATTACAGTCAAAACCACCACAACGTGCAGACTAAATACTGACCTGTGACAATATTCCTGTCCTTGGGCAGGAGGGATGGAGGCAGCAGGCTGGGATGGGGGGAGGAAGGAGACAGACATGTTTCTTGCGGCCTCAGAGCCCTGCCAGGGGGCTCAGCAGGTATAGAACCCATCCACACCTCTCCACAGCCCCAGTGCAAGACCCACCAGTCCCCTGTAGTGCCACACATCAGGAGCAGCACCAGGACATGCCTTCAACACTCCTGACATGGCCCCAGGGCAACCCACAGAAGCCCCTGCCTTCAATGTGGGACCCCGGGCATCAGCTTAATACCCAGGAAGGCCAGAAACTCCACAAAGCATCCAAGATGCTGCTGGGGCAGTTGTGGAGGTCACCCACTTGCTCTGACAGCTCCCAGAGGTGATGGGGTGGAAGGTGGCTTCTGGAATCAGACACTGGCCACATCCAGGGGTGGCCTTGGGCACTTCTGCTCTCCCCTAAAGTCCCCTGACAGATTCTGACTGTTCCCAGCAGCAAAAGCAGAGCTGGAGGAGCTGAAGCCAGGCAGAGGGAGCAAAGGCACCCTCAGGGAGGGTGCAGCCCCCTGCCCAAGCTCCTAGCACCCTGGAGCCAGTCCTGGTCCTTCTGGGCAGCCTTGCAGGGAATTGGCAGTGAAGGAGGAACCAGGACCAGAACTTGGGACTTTTCAGCCTCCCTGGAGGCACCACAAGCAATGAGGGGGAAGATCAGCAGCAAAGGGACA